ATGTTGTTCCATGAAAAGAAGTGGTTAAAGGGTTATATGGTAATGGTACAGACATGTTCTTTCCTGCTCCAGGGGATTAAGCTAGAATTAATGTATGAAATCGACAAGGAAACAGACCTTGGAAGGCATAAAAGACTAACCCAGCTATTGTAATATGCCATCAAGTCGGAACTGACTTATAGTGAGCCTAATAGGGCTTTCAAGATAAATGGGATTGTTAAGGAGTCGTTTTATGAGTTCCACACCCCCAAGGAGTTTCCATGGTTTAGCAAGGAATTGAAACCAGGTCTCCCAAGTCCTAGTCTGTCACTCCATCTACGGACACCACACTGGGTATCCAATCTAGCTATTCCAGTTAAAGTAGACCCACTGAATCAAAGTGTGCTGCTTAACTGAATCAGTTGGATTTTGGTCACCTCTTGATCTCCTTGAGGCTAACAGCTGGGTTCAGTTCTGGGAGAAGCTTTTTAACAGTAAGAATTGTTTACTTGTGGAAGAAACTGGCTTAGATAGCTCTGATCTCTCTTGGACTGTGCCTTCTGTCAGGGATGCTGTCATTGCACATTGCCTGCATTGAGTAGAGGCAACATTGGACTTTATGACCTCTTAAAATATCTTGCTGCTTTAAAATTACGTAATATGAACCACTTTTAATTCTGCCACTATAGTTTTGTTGCCACCTAAAGGGACCACGTGGCATGTAGTGGTCCTATACATTTCATTGATAAGTTATGAAACAGAGAGAAGACATTTTTTCCAGAAATGGCCTATGATGTTTCCCATATTCTGTAGTAAATGCCTACTTCAGTTCATCACTGTTTCACTGTTCAGTATTGAGTTGCTAATATTGTGGTGAGGACTCTGATTTAGCTAAGTGGTGATGGATAATCGTAAAATGAATGCATTGGAATATTTTCTAATCATTTTTGGGCAGCTGTTAGAGGTGGCTGACTTTGTCTGCTGGCAGCATTTGGACTGTAGGTGTATGACTGAGAACTGGAGCGTAAGAACTCCTTAAAGACAATGTGTAACTTTCGTACTCCTATGTTTTTTGTAGATGTGTGTTTAGTGCTAGTGATACAAAGTACTGTGCCTGTTTATAATTCATTGTTAACCTGTGTTTCCTCTCAGAATATGGTATCAAGTTTTCGGGTCTCAGAACTACAAGTGCTGTTGGGCTTTGCTGGACGTAATAAAAGTGGTCGCAAGCATGACCTCCTGATGAGGGCACTGCACTTGCTGAAGAGTGGCTGCAGCCCAGCAGTTCAGATAAAGATCCGAGAACTATACAGGCG